AGGCGACGTTGACTATCATAAGATAGCCAAATTATGCCAAAAGTGGATCAAGTAAGGTTAGGTTAGGTTTTGTATGAGCTATTCATTTATATGTATTTTTATGTTCTGCTCGACGACCCGCCAAAAGTTCTAGAAATTATAAATACAGGGAAGTTATCGCTAGTCGGCAATTATCCTGCTTAGCGTAATATATATATATATATATATATATATATATATATATATATATATATATATATATATATATATATATATATATATATATATATATATATATATATATATATATATATATTACTTTGAATAAGGCATTCGTAAAAATATTCATGCAGGTAGTGGACAACAGCCTCACTGTCCAGGGTTGGTTGGCAGACACATGACGGTTTAGGTCTGTACTCCTGAACACTCCATAATAATTTGATGGCAGGACCTAATATAATATGTACACAGCGGCTATATTTGTATAGCTCAGGCAGAATTTACACATTAAATAACCTTAGGTATGTAAATATATAATATAAAGTATACATGTTCGGTACTGCGGGCGATTTACATGTGAACTTACCTTAAAAATAAAGTAAACCATCGTCTTACACCACCTGTAGGCTGTAGTCTGTTACAGGAGGACACTGTGTGAGAGCATCACGGGCTGAAGGTGATGTAAACACAAGTGACTACCCCCTCAAATAAATCTATGAGTTATACTGTACATGGGAGTCTGTATACAGAGAGGTACCGAGGATTTAGTGTGTATGAAAAATATTCAGAGGTTAAGGGAATACCGAACCCTCTGGTGATGCAGAAGGGGAAACACGACTCTGTATCAAAGTGTGAACTAAGATATCACACTGTCACACTACAAGTGGGCCTCACTCACCTTCGGGGTGGACTAGGTACTGTAGCTTTTGAGAAATCGTGTGGGTAGGTTGACAGCTGCATGAGGGACGGGAATTTATTGCTGACCAGTGTGTACCCGTGAGGCAGATCTCTAGTGTAGAGGAAAAACAGAAAAAATATAATAATTCATATGAAGTAAATAGAAAGTGAGTGTCGAGGTGGAATAAACAAAAAGTCTCGTATAAATAATAACAAATTGAAACCGTGTGTATCATAATGCAGGTGGTGCTAGAAATTATTCCTGGTCATACATGGCACCCCAGTCATCAGTGGTGCCACTCGCTACTCACCAACACTGTCACCATGAGGGAGTCAAAGGCAATATGGAGAATCATCAGTTGGTGTAGTCTGTCTTGTATTAGGGAACTGTAGCAGTACTGACAAGGCAGGTGCTCACTAGTTCTTGGTTTGATCATAATCTGTGCCCCACCATGAATGTAGACCAGCGTGTGACTCCAAACCAAGTGTCTGTCAAGTGTGTGGTGACTTAGTTCAAGTGCGCCCCAGGGTTCTCAGGTTCCAGGGTTCGAGGTTCACTCTGTGCCTGAGGCTGAGCGGCTGCAAGGTTTCTTCTGATAATGTCACTTGACGGTCTTGCTGAGCGACCACAACTGAGGCCGTGGAGATCGTATCATCCAGCCATCCCAGTGCCACGAAGACATTTGTATTCAGTACGGATGACTACACCGCTGCGTAAGGCCTTCAGGTCGGGAGGTGTGCTCAAGGGTGATTTTGGAGCAGTCAGAATATAGTGTGGCGCACGACCTGGAGACAGGCTCTCCCAAGTGAGTGAGGATGATGCTACCTCACGCAGGAACGATGTAATCTTCTTCACGAGAAGATTGTTCCAGCTGACTTGCTTCTGAATTTTGGGGACATGATGAGTGTGATCAAGGTAAGACAGTCTATTGGCCAACTTCCTTCGTATAATTGGGATTTTGTACAATAACTACGGATTTTCAACATCTTAGAATATATATATATATATATATATATATATATATATATATATATATATATATATATATATATATATATATATATATATATATATATATATATATATATATTGCTAAACCAATGTAATCATGTAACAGCGTTACAGAATTTAAATAACTGTACACAACTCGCTGGTACAGTATCGTGCAGTAAACCGTAAAGAGTAAACGTTTTAACTCGATTATAGGTTATTGTTCAAATGATGGTGAAGCTGTGGCAGGGAGGGATGGGGGAAGGGAGGGAGGGCTGCCTCCATCAGTATTTGGGGCTGCCTCCATCACAACACTAGGCAGTAGGCACTTCAACACATCCTGTCCTGGAAATGTGTTTTACTGATAAACGGATGACACTCATAAAACATCCACACAGAGAGTGACGCCGGACACCACCAAGGCAGTGTTTAAAGCTGGCGTGAGATACTGTCGTGTCGTTGGTTTATAAGAGTTCCGTTAGTACCAGCGACAGTAAATATAACTGTGTGACTGGAATAAAAACAAAGAGAACACAGAGGCTTTTATCATATAGTATCAAGCGCTGGTGCAGTGACATCCAATATTTGTCATCGTGACACCTAGAAAAATCAGACCCTGTTACTTTGTTTCTAGTGTGACAGGATATTTTTCAGCCCTAGAACTCGGCTGACTGTAGTGTAGGTGATGTAAAAACTGTGGTGTGCAAACGAACTAACTGGAACGTAAAATGACAGGCGTGGCTCGTGTCGTTCCCAGACCACCAGCGCAGCCACTGGGCCGCCTTTCCCAAGCTCACACTATACAGTAGAGGCCAAACTTTTGACGCCACTTACTGACCAAACAATCGCCTAGTCCAGTCCACTTCTGCCATCTTGATGTGATTTGAAAATGAACTTGCCTTAAGGATCGAGCCAGAAGCCTTCAAACAAATACTAGCACTGAAATGTTTGACCCAGGGTAAGGAGTTAATATATGAAGTTCTTTAATAATAATAATAATAATAATAATAGTAATAGTAATAGTAATACTGTAAAATCTATGTTTATTTGGGGGTAAACTCACACCTGTCTATCGCTGATATAAATACAGGATACCTTTAAGGTTACCCCTATGTCACATGGGTCGTCTCGATTATTCACAGACGAAAGCAACAGCCTTGGGAGGATCTTCAAAACTTAGGTAGGAAACAAGATAGAAAAGTTATAAAGTTCTGTAAGACGGAAACAGGCAAGATGAAACATTCGCCAACTCGACCAAGGGTTTGATGTAACAGATAAACACGCACACGCGGGAATCGTAACTTCAATCTCACGACAATACACCGAGTATTGCAACAGTGTCCAATACAGAGCTGACGTGTTTCTTGCAGATAATATTGTAAGCAAATAATTATTAGCACTGGATACATGTGAGACAATTAATTGACTTCACGACTCCTGTAAAAGATGGTAAACCTGATATATATACCAAATCCCAAGAGATGGAGCACTGAGAGATGGAGCACTGAGAGATGGAGCACTGAGAGATGGAGCACTGAGAGATGGAGCACTGAGAGATGGAGCACTGAGAGATGGAGCACTAAGAGATGGAGCACTAAGAGATGGAGCACTAAGAGATGGAACATTAAGAGGTGGAGCATTAAGAGGTAGAACATTAAGAGATGGAATATTAAGAGATGGAACATTAAGAGATGGAGCACTAAGAGATGGAACACTAAGAGATGGAGCAGTAAGAGATGGAGCAGTAAGAGATGGAGCACTAAGAGATGGAGCACGAAGAGACGGAGCACTAAGAGATGGAACATTAAGAGTGGAGCATTAAGAGGTAGAACATTAAGAGATGGAATATTAAGAGATGGAACATTAAGAGATGGAGCACTAAGAGATGGAACACTAAGAGATGGAGCAGTAAGAGATGGAGCAGTAAGAGATGGAGCACTAAGAGATGGAGCACGAAGAGACGGAGCACTAAGAGATGGAACATTAAGAGATGGAGCATAGTTGTTGTAGTAACGAGAGAACCTGCAGCTGATTTCCCTAGTGTCCAGTGTAAGGCAGCGCTGTCCTCCCTGCTAGTTTACAAGTGGTATAACATATAGATCACCTTACCCATACTTATTGCACACAAAAACCATCAATAGAAAGTTCTTAAATTTGATCAGAAATACAGGCATTAATGCTCTCCACATAAAAGACATATATAAATAATAAATGGAATGCCATTGAAAGAAATCCACCCTCTCGAGGTCTACAAAACCATGTCATTCAAAGACTCGGCCACATCACAGGAGGAGCGGGAAGACCTGCTGTTTTTTTTTTTTTTGGCTCTTGGGTTATCGGGATTGGCCAAGAAATTTGTCGAGGGGATTCTGGTTACAGCCGAAGGAAAACAATACGTGACCTAAAATATTCTTTGGTGACAACCCGCTTCTACACAAAATGGGATGGAAGTGTACACCGCCCAAACACGCCCACCTGGCTCCATTCTCTATTCTCATGTAAATAAGTGTTTTTGTGCGTCAGGCAGCGGAACTCGTTTGTTTACTCTCGCGAGGCACGTGGCCGAGGAATAATAATCACTGAGAATCTGATTAGTAACCAGCCCGGGTGTGTGTGTTTGAGAATTTGATACTCGCATAAACGTGTTTATTAGTCTTGTTAGGCAGCATGATATTAATCTTTATAAAAAAACGCTTCGGCTTTTCAATCAACAACAAATATCAGCATATGATATGTTGAAGTTGGAGCCTAATTTCCCTTTCCCAATGAGTTAAAAACTACATACAAATAAGCACGTTTGTACGCACGCTCATACATACCTTTTTCTATAGCTTTTTCATTACTTCATGGCGGAAGCTGTGTTTATGTCCATTCTGTTTTTGTTGCTACTTTACCTTACCCTCCCTTGGTATGAGTCGTCCCAGCAACACGACGACTGTGGAAGTTTTTGCGCATAAAATCTATATTTGGCGTTGTTTATGTCAAAGAAAAGCACTTACGGCCCTCAGTGTGTCAGAAAATCCCTCCTATACACAGCTGCTTTACGGGGTGGCGGGTCCTCTTACTTTGCTCGCTTAAACTACGATACACTAAGGCGTCTGTTGGAATCTCACCGAAGCTCTAACGTAACTAGATGACATTCTCCAGTCCCCAGTTACGAGGGAAAGAAATGATCTTAGGAATCTTTAAGGATCTTCGCTCAATCATCGTGACGTCAGCAGATAAGATAGAGTTTTCGGGAGACGTTCAGAGTCTGCACACAGTGGTGGTCATTCTGTGGTCGAGGTGACGTTACTTAACCCCAGAGAGACGTTACTTGACCCCAGAGAGACGTTACTCGACCCTAGTGTGACGTTACTTGACCCCAGTGTGACATTACTCGACCCTAGAGTGACGCTATCATCTCATCATTATCATCTTCATCGTCACTCCTTCTCCTCCTTCTCCTACTCTTCTTCCTCCTCCTTTATTTCTCCTCCTTTCTTCCTCCTCCTACTCCTCCTTTCTTCCTCCTCCGTTGTTCCTCTTCCGTTCTTCCTCCTCCGTTCTTCCTCCTCCGTTCTTCCTCTTCCTTTCTTCCTCCTCCTGTTACTCTTCCTCCTCCGTTCTTCCTCTTCCTTTCTTCCTCCTCCTTTCTTCCTCCTACTTTCTTCCTCCTCCTCCTCCTCCTCGTGATCATCAGCACTATCCTCCTACTCCTCCTCCTGTTACTCCCTTCCCTCCGTCTCTTCCTCCTCCTCCTCCTCCTCGTGATCATCAGCACTATCCTCCTACTCCTCCTCCTGTTACCCTTCCTCCGTCTCTTCCTTCTCCTCCTCCTCCTCGTGATCATCAGCACTATCCTCCTATTCCTCCTCCTGTTACTCTTCCTCCTCCCCTTCCTCCGTCTCTTCCTTCTCCTCCTCCTCCTCTTGATCATCAGCACTATCCTCCTACTCCTCCTCCTGTTACTCTTCCTCCTCCCCTTCCTCCGTCTCTTCCTTCCTCCTCCTACGCCGCCATCGCCAGCTGCTTTGGTGGAGCTTTATCAAAATGGAGTTGGAATCCGGAATAAGTAGCACAAATAAAGGATTGGAATCCACTTTTAGTGAATCTAAGACGCTGAATGAAGGCAATGAATGAAGTGAAGAAACTGAATGAATGAAAGACACTGAATGAAGTTATTGAATGAAGCGATGGCAAACAATGAACACAATGAATGAAGTGAAGAAACTGAATGAATGAAAGACACTGAATGAAGTTATTGAATGAAGCGATGGCAAACAATGAAGACAATGAATGAAGTGAAGAAACTGAATGAATGAAAGACACTAAATGAAGTTATTGAATGAAGCGATGGCAAACAATGAAGACAATGAATGAAGTGGAGACAGTAATAGTGATGGATGAATGACACAACAGTAAGAGTGATGGATGAATGACACAACAGTAAGAGTAATGGATGAATGACACAACAGTAAGAGTAATGGATGAATGACACAACAGTAAGAGTGATGGATGAATGACACAACAGTAATAGTGATGGATGAATGACACAACAGTAAGAGTAATGGATGAATGACACAACAGTAAGAGTGATGGATGAATGACACAACAGTAAGAGTGATGGATGAATGACACAACAGTAAGAGTGATGGATGAATGACACAACAGTAAGAGTAATGGATGAATGACACAACAGTAAGAGTGATGGATGAATGACACAACAGTAATAGTGATGGATGAATGACACAACAGTAATAGTGATGGATGAATGACACAAAAGTAAGAGTGATGGATGAATGACACAACAGTAATAGTGATGGATGAATGACACAACAGTAAGATATGGATGAATGACACAACAGAAGAGTGATGGACATGACAACAGAAGAGTGATGGATGATGACACAACAGTAAGAGTGATGGATGAATGACATGTTTGCACAATAGTGATGGATGAATGACACAACAGTAAGAGGATGGATGAATGACACAACAGTAAGGAGTGATGATGAATGACACAACAGTAAGAGTGATGGATGAATGATGCAACAGTAAGAGTGATGATGAATGGCCACAACAGTAAGAGTAATGGATGAATGACACAACAGTAAGAGTGATGGATGAATGACACAACAGTAAGAGGATGGATGAATGACACAACAGTAAGAGTGATGGATGAATGAACAGTAAGGAGTGATGGATGAATGACAACAAACAGTATAATAGTGATGGACATTAACAATAGTAAAGAGTGATGGATGAATGACAACAGTAAGAGTGATGGATGAATGACACAGAATAGTGATGGATGAATGACAACAGTAAGAGTGATGAAGGAATGACACAACAGTAAGAGTGATGGATGAATGACACAACAGTAAGAGGATGACAATGACACAACAGTAAGAGTGATGGATGAACACACAACAGTAATAGGTGATGGATGAAACGACACAACAACAGTAAGAGTGATGGATGAATGACACAACAGTAAGAGTGATGGATGAATGACACAACAGTAAGAGTGATGGATGAATGACACAACAGTAAGAGTGATGGATGAATGACACAACAGTAAGAGTGATGGATGAATGACACAACAGTAAGAGTGATGGATGAATGACACAACAGTAAGAGTGATGGATGAATGACACAACAGTAAGAGTGATGGATGAATGACCTGGCGCTACTTAACCTTACTTAACTTACTGCCACGATTTCAAAGCGAATTTACGAACACTTGAGTCTTGGGGGCACTCAGGAGGGCATTGTAACGGTTTAGGTCATGTGTTCTACAAAATTAAAAGTCATTCATAATCTGCGTGCGTGCGTGTGCGTGCGTGAGGTGCGTGTGGAGGAGATAGTTACGACCCCACTTCACTTAAATTTTTGTATATGTTTAAGTTCATTACACACACACACACACACACACACACACACATGACCTCTTTATCGATGATACTAACAGTTGCAGGTCACACTAGCACCCCGTAAATATTAAGCTTTAAAGGGTGTATATCCACTGTCACCTTTTGTGCACACTTCCGGTCAAATAACAACAACGGTATTGGAACTGTCCTCGTCACGGCAAATAACACCCGGCTGTGTCTCTTACCACCACCCCACCCCCCCCTTGTCTAGATGGCCGTGGGTGACGTCACTGTAAATATAACACCAAGAATTAAGTGATAATTGGTTTACTGTTTACCATTGTTTGTACACCTTCATTATTTGTACACCTCCATTGTTTGTGTACCTGCGTTGTGTGTACACCTGCATTGTTTGTGTACTTACATTGTACCTACACTAATAATTTACATTGTTAGTATACATGAACCATGAAATAATATACCTACACTGTCTATAATACATTGTTTGTATACTTACATAATGTAATATATACCTACACTGTCTATATGCATTGTTTGTATACTTGCTCTGTTACGAGATTTATTCATAACTACTAATTTCTGTCAGTTCATTCCCGTTATCCATCCCCATTTCACGAGGCGCCCCAAGTACCTGTCAGTACCTTAACGAGTGAATGAGTTATGGTCGATCAGTGAGTCTCGCCGCCACATTGACGTGCTGAAGATCACTTTCCTTGTTCGTGTTAATTAGAATAAAATGAACTCAGGTGAAAACGTAATCATTCATTTAAAAACAATTGATTATATTAAATACTAGTGATAAAAATGTGGCATTGAATTCGTTGATGTGGTAACCTAACTAACCTAACCTAACCTAACCTGACCTTCATTGAGTCATGACACACTCCAGCACAGACCCTCGTCCTCTGGTTCTGCATTACTGTAAACACCAAATTTTCTCTTTCGGGGATCGATATCAATTTTCTCCCTCGGTGAAGGTGTTAGAGGCCGGGGTGAGGGAGAGGCCGGGGTGAAGGAGAGGCTAGGTTGAGGAAGAGGCTAGGGTGAGGGAGGGGTTGGGGTGAGGGAGAGGCTGAGGTGAGGGAGAGGCTAGGTTGAGGGAGAGGCTAGGTTGAGGGAGAGAGGCTAAGCTGAGGGAGAGGCTAGTGAGGAGGTTGCTGAGGAGAGGCTGAGGTGAGGGGAGAGGCTGAGGTGAGGTAGAGGCTAGGGGTGAGGGGAGAGGCTAGGTGAGGGGAGGGGTTGGGGTGAGGAGAGGCTGGGAGGTGAGGGGAGAGGCTAGGGGTTGAGGAGGAGGCTAGGTGAGGGGAGGGGTTGGGGCTGAGGGAGAGGCTGAGGTGAGGGGAGAGGGGCTGAGGAGGGAGAGGCTAGGTGAGGGAGAGGCTAGGGGTGAGGAGGGGTTGGGGTGAGGGAGAGGCTAGGTTGAGGAGAGGGTCTGGCTGAGGGGAGAGGCTGAGGTGAGGGAGAGGCAAGAAGGAGGGAGGCTGACGAGGGAGAGGCTAGGGGTGAGGGAGGGGTTGGGGCTGAGGGAGACAGGCTGGGGTGAGGGAGGGGTTGGCTGAGGGAGAGGCTGAGGTGAGGGAGAGCTGGGGGAGGGGAGGGGTTGGGATGAGGGGAGAGGCTGGGGGTGAGGGGAGGGGCTGGGGTGGGAGGGAGAGGCTGGGGTGAGGAGGGGCTGGGGTGAGGAGAGGCTGGGGTGGAGGGGAGGGTTACAAGGGAGAGGCTGGGTGAGGAGGGGGCTGGGGTGAGGAGAGGCTGGGGTGGGGGGAGGGTTGGGGTTAAGGGAGAGGCTGGGGGTGAGGGAGAGAAATATAAATAAAATTGATAATACAAAAAATAATAATAATAGTAGCAATAATAATAATAATAATAATAATAATAATAATAATATTAATAAATAATAATAATAATAATAATAATAATAATAATAATAATAATAATATTAACAAATAATAATAATAATAATAATAATAATAATAATAATAATAATAATAATAATATTAACAAATAATAATAATAATAATAATAATAATAATAATAATAATAATAATAATAATAATAACTACAAACAATAATAACTAACAATAATAACAATAATAAAACAATTATAAAGACCACTCCACTTGCCCTGTTACAATCCCTCATGAAGACTGACACAATCTCTCATCCGCCCTTATACCACTGACAAGCTGATGACCAGCCACTCCTGACATTCCTGACCTTTCTACATTGTCAGCCTGATCCTTATCCTCCTCCTGACCAGGTTATCACAAAGGAGAATGACTCACCAGTACACACATAGTCTGTTATCTCTTATCACCTCAAGAGTAAAACATTCAGCTAAGAAAATTTAATGGTCACTGATACTCTAAATCCTC